GTCACATGTGGTTGCCGCAAGCCCGCCGGCCGCTCCTTCGTTGAATCCTCTGGCCGCTCCTTCGTTGAGTCCGCTGGCCGCACCGTTCTCAAGCCCGCCGGCCGCCGCTCACTCAACCCCGCCGTGTGTGACGCTGTGTGTTTTGACAGGTGACTCATTCATTATAAAATTAAGAGCAAACGGTTCATTTGGTTGTTATGAATAAATTAACTTGTTTTAAGGTTAATTATTTTAGTATAAGGCTAAAAATCACACTTAAAACGTATTAGAAAACAAATTGGTCATTGTTCTAAAGTGTGAATAGAATCTGCACTTAAATTCTTGAGTCTGAAGGTTCGTCTGAGGACTGATTCATTTTCATACCTTACCAGTTCATATATCTCTACTTAAATGAGTGGATTATTTTTTAGTAAAAGTCTCATATATTCTCTAAAACTGTAAAGAGTTTGGGGAAATGACTCTTAATTAAACTGTCACCTTCTCAGGTCTCAGATTGTTCCCCAGACTCCCCAGACTTGTGTCCACTGTCCTGCATGGTGCCCTTTGCAGTCCGCAGGCTTTCCTGCCGAACCGTCCAGCTGCCCCCTTTGGCCTTCAGGCAGGCTGAGCAGTACTACTGTGAGAGGAAACCAGAGACAGAGACGGCCCAGCCTCGACCCACCAGCCTCCCCTTGAGAGCACCTCCACTCATTGCCATCACCTCTGCAGATACAAGCAGGTAAACAGCTGGGCTGTATTCTATATTCTTGTTATTGTCAATGATTGTTTTTGTTCCGTTTAACAGAAACAAAGAATGTATATATTTGCTATGAGTCAATATTATCAACTTTTTAGAAGAAATTAAAAGCCAATTTTGACTTAAAACAAAAACGTTTACTTTCAAACATGTAATCATCATGGGTCAAAGAGCCTCTTACAGCAAATTCAAATCTGCTTTTGCCTGACAGATGCTTTGGAGCTAATTGCACTTTTGATCTTGTTATTTCCTCTTGCTTTTGAGATTTTTTTTTTTTTTTTTTTTACAAGAACATTTGTTTTAGTCAAAGGCAGTGATACACTTTGATGATTCTGATTGCTAGGCTATACAGTAGCCTAACTGTTTATATTGTGTCATCATTTTAGCAAGCACATTTTATTGCATGTATGTAAAAGATCAGAAAACCTCCACTACTTTTACTGAAGAAAATAATAGGTGACCCAACTGAACCGAGGTAAACATGTAAAGTTCTTAAAATCGATATCATCATGAACTGCAGGTAGATACTGTTTGCACAGATTGTAAATAGCGTTACTGTTTGCACAAAGTGTAAATATCAACAAACATCATCTTGTTTACACTAAATTCAAATAGTGGTAAAATGCAATACAAACAGTGTAAACAGAAGTGAAATGCTGTTTGTACTAAAGGTAAATTGTCTGAGCATTGGAACACAAACTTGAAAAGAGCCTCTGCGAACATTTAGTGTAAACAGACAGTCAAATTATTAACATAGGCTGAATGGAAAAACTGACATTTTTAGTTTAAATGAATAGTTCACACAGAAATGAAAATTTGCTCACCCTCAGGCCATCGAAGTAGATGAGTTTGTTTGTTCATCAAAACAGATTTGGAGAAATTTAGCATTACATAATTTGTTTACCAATGGCTCCTCTGCAGTGAATGGGTGCTGTCAGAATGAGAGTCCAAACTGCTGATTAAAAACATCACAACAATCCACAAGCAATCGTTGCTTCTTGCCTCTATCCATAAAATTGCTTTCTCCAGTGAAGACAAGAGGTTAATCAATGGACTGGAGTTGTGTTGTTGTGTGTACTTTGTGATGTTTTTCTCAGCTGTTTGAACTCTTATTCTGACGGCACCCATCCACAGCAGAGGATCTGTTGGTGAGCATGTGATGTAACCTGATTTCCTTGAGTCAGCAGCTCTTATTTTTCTTGAGAACGTGCACAGACCACACCCCTTTATTTAGTCTATCTCAGCTAAATATACAGTGGGTACGGAAAGTATTCAGACCCCCTTCAATTTTTCACTATTCTTTTTCCCATTAAGCATTGTTCTATTGTTTTAGATTACAAATACTGCCAAAGATATAAACTTTTTATTGTAGGTCTTTGGATTTTACATGGCCTTGTAGCCTCATGACATTTGATAAAACATGGTGGACCAGCTCAGTGGTCCAAAGAATGATTACAGTCCAACCAAAGACAACTCAATCATAGCTAGCAACTTTCTCATAATTAGCATCTACAGCAAAAGGTGATTGACAGTCATGTCAGCTAGAGACGGAGAATCTGTCAATCAAGTGCTCAGTGATACGCAACATCAGTTCCCATCTACGGCACATAGACTTTATACGCATGGGGCTTGTTTTTCCCATCTGATTATGGTAAATAATTTTTTCAATACCCCAGGAGGCCTCAGTCTCCAACTGTGAGGACTGGAAATTTGATGGTAAGAACACTTTGCATTAAACATAAGAAAAATTGCAATAATGCATACAATCATGAAGATTTTGCCTTATATTTCAGAAACTGTTGCTGAAACTCACTAGTATGAACTATTGTTTTAATTGTGTTACACTGCCCAGTGTTCAATTGCATCTTCTGCTCTGAATAAGCCTTGCATCTTGATTGTGTTTATGCATCATTTCCCTGTTTTATGCCAGGCTGTAATTCACAAGGTCATGCTCCCCTCTTTACAATTCAGTGAATATTCTAATATGCCGACTTCACTGGATAAATTGTCTCAATACTTCTTCCCCCTGTTGGCTCTAATGGAAAGAGCGCTTTATCCAACACCTCTCTATTACACACACTTATCTTTGAATTGCCTTCCTGTCAATGCTGTGTCAGATGCAGGACAGTCATTCGAACAACGCTTTGGTTTTAGTGCCTGAACTGAGGGTTGATTCACATTGTATTTGATTGAAAATCTATCTTAGATAAAAGAGAGAAGGGGGCAAAGAACAGATTTGCTGTCAAAAGTAATTTCATGCTTATAACTTAAGGATTCTGTGTGGTTGTTTAGTGATTATGGTTCACTCATGTTGAACTGACACCTAAAGGATGCTGTCAGTACTGCTCCGCTCATGTGAGGAAACCTGTCAGGATGCTTAAAGTCACTGTACACAAACTGCACTAAATGGGAAAAATTCTAAAATATAATTATGTAGGCTATGGGAAAAATGTGAAATATAATTGTAATGCATATGAAATTATGAAAATGTAGACCCTTTTCGCATTTCCAGGTTTCTCAGAAGCGGAAATTATAATTGGGTAGACTTCTAGCTGGGAACAAGAGACTACATCAAATACATTTTTATTGCATTCCCATTTGCTCAAATAGCAAAAGAAAATCTCCACAATAGTATATTCATGACTTTCAAAAAGAGGAGAGAGATTGATAACTGCAGTCAGAAGAGAGAACATTGTACAATTTACTGTCACTTCCAGAGCCTCTGTATTAGAAACACTTTCACAGCGGAGTTAAATATTTAGTATTTTTTTTAGTAATGTGATGCAAAGGAAATCAATACAAGTATAGCATTATAAATGTACATAATATTTTTTTAATAAAGCACACACACACTTAAATATATATAAATATGAGCGAAAAGGGTCATATTTTCATTATTTTATATATATAAATAACATTTAAGAAGAGTTTTTTTCTTCGTCATCGTACTGATTCGGCACAAACAAATAAGTTTTGTCTTCTCAGTTGCTTCCCGCATTGTGCGAAGAGCATTAGGCTCCTCCCCCTGGTCTGTCAGTCAACCTGTGCAGAATAAATATTGATCGCCTCCCAGCATCACTTCTTTGTGAAGTGGAGAGGAGAATGAGAGCACTTGGATGTTTTTTCCGTCCAGGCGAGGCGCGAGACAGGGATGCTGGATATTGTTGCATGGACCTCGAAGATTTGCTAGTTTATTTGGGAACCAATTTGACGGGACAAGCGTTTATTGTCCGAAGTTTTGTGTTTTATTATGGACATTACGATAGAAGCGAGCAATGATGTCTATAAACGATGAACTATTGGACAGAATGGGTCAATCCAGTATAGTAAACATCAAAATTGACTTTTCGGTTTATATGCATTTGCATATTTTATGTAGAATATTATTGCTTTCTTGGAAATAGCACTAATGGTGTACTTTACACTACGCTTTTTTATGTATGTTTTCCAAGTTTCGGACATTTCGCGCCAAAGCTAGTTGCAATAATTATCTCACAAAAATATAGTGTTTTGACGAATTTTAGCGCGTCGATACAACTGCAAGAATGGACGCCGGGAACGAGGTGTCAACTTTGGTTTCTCCCGGTACTGCTGATGGAAATGCGCCAAAACATCTGTGGAGGCAACAGAGCCCGGTTCCTCTTCAGATCCAGAACTCTTTCGGCTCGCGCAAAAACTACCGGGTGAGACAGAGAGGCTTTTCCGACACGGAAAAGTACCTGAGTCCCAGGACCATGGACCGGAGCTATGCCGTGGACACCGGAAACCGTCCTGGTTTGAAGAAGTCCAGAATGTCATGGCCATCATCCTTTCAGGGACTTAAACGGTGAGAATATGATTTTGGCCATCATGTCCAAGTAAACAAGGCGGGGTTTTTCTTTTAGGTAAAAGTAAATACTTTGTATATAAGTACATTAAACGGGGTTTATGTAGTATAATATTATTTAACTTTTAATTTAACTCAGTTTGCATATATTTACATTTTTAAAGGCATATAGCCTAGTAATTGATACATTAATAGATCATATTATATTACAATGTGGAATTTATTAGGCTATTTCTATTATATACAAAGGAGCATGTGCATATTTTTGTCAGATAAAGAATAAAAATTTATAATTTTGGTTCATTTTTGTAGCAGAGAAAGATTGCAAGTTTAAAATGTGTATACATACCAAGTCAATTTTGCCAGCTTTTATCGGTACATAACATTTGAATTTAATTGGGCCTTAATGTTTAAAAAAGAATATAAACATAAATGCTAAACCATAAATAGGATGCCATCTGGAGACGCATCACAGAAGTCATGCAAGTACAAGGTATGTGTTTCACGCTGTGCAATGCATTGTGAGTGAAAGAGAACTCATCCGCATACTCTTCTGTTTGGCTGTGATTTTGTTACATCAATTTTGTTTTCAGTCTGGACAGGAAAGTGTCTGGTGCTGGAATCTTCCAGGTTAGGACACAGATGGATTGCAAAATGGACTGACACAGATATGGGTCAGAATAATATATAAATAGGTTTAAGTGGCCTGTAGTTAAAGTGCAAACTGGTTATCAAATAGCCAAGCAAAACGGTAATCATAATCAATATTTTTAATTAGCCCAGAGAAAGTGGCATGGCTTCTGATGAGTTCGTGCATAAGTACTTTTCATGTCTATTGCTCTCTGGAGAGCCCTCTGGAGAACTGCTGTCCTTCACGGCTGCCCCTTCATTCACCGAAAGAGAAATAAGTCTGTTTACACACATCACTGACTAATTCATTGCAAGCTGAACACCAGACATTCACATCCAGTCCGTGATGGTCTAGTACTTGGCAAGAGGAGACCAACGGTTCAAATGTTCCCTGAAGAAAAGTGAGTGTTTATCAGAGAGCCTTAGTTACAGGCAGAAATATGCAGATACCCTTGAATCAAGCTAATAATAGACCATTAGTCACAGATTTGATACCTTTCGGTCAGAGC